TGCTTTTATAATGCATATGAAACATATCATGACCCACATTAGGTTTTACAACAGGGGGAGTGATGGAAAACGGGGACTCAACCTCATGGATACAGTTAAGTTCCAGAATATTGTTTCTTGTGTCTGGAAAAAAAATGGTATTACTGTAATTACAACTAAAATTCAATGTGTTCTGCTGTTTTTAAGCTCAGATTGAATCACAGAATTGAAATAAATTATATGGCTTCACATATTGTCAGAAAGTAGCTTTCTCCATTGAAGAATGTGGTCTATATAAGGATGTTTTACAGGCTTACAAACATCATCCTAAATCTACAAAATCTGCTACTGTACATTATTACAGCAAGACTTATCATAAGAGAATATTTTGGCTAAAGTTCTTATCTGTCCTGAGCTTTGATCTTTTCATTTGTAAGTTCTTTGGTCAGAGCACCTACAAGTTGGGGAGTGTTTTGGTGCAACAGACTAAAGTCCTTAGATGAAAAAGCTGATTGATGTTATTTACTAAAAAAACCCAACGACAACAACAAAAAGTTTCTGTGTTTTTTTCTGCCTGAAAATCACAGTATCATTTTATATATGCTTTCTGCAAAGTTAATATACATATGGAAGAAGGAGACAAAACTTCATCGTACAATATATATAGATAAAAAAGGACCATTAATAGCCTGGATTTATTACATTTATATATAAACAATGCAAATCAGCTTGAAAATCATATGCAGACTTCCTAGCAACTCCTAACAATGAGTGCAAGAACCCACCTACCAAATGAGTGAAATGGGACATGAGGGAGCTGGGGGTGTGCTTGAAACTGCCAAGATTTTTACCTGAAAGCTGAAGGACTTGGGCCATCACCTCTTTTAGAGACTAAACATTAGTTCATCCCTACTAGGTGGGTAGGGTGTTCCCTGCCCCTCTGTTTTCCCATCAGGGTGTAATTGCCAGTCATCTGTAGGTTTGTTATGAAGGTAAACAATTGTGTATTGCTCTTGATGTTTCAATATTGGAAATACATTTCTGGGTTAGGCACCAGTGAGGCTAGTGGATGCTCCAAATGCCTTTCAGTACCCAGAACTGCATGGTGCAATTAAGCTTTTCTATGGAGCCAGATGGATGAAACAGCAGCTCCCATCCAAAAACGCTGGCACATGCCATGTTGTAAAGTAATATATGAGAGGCACTAGCACCAGGGGAGGTTTTCTGCATTTTAGCTGCTGGAAGGTTCTGGCTGCCTCCAAAAGAGCAGCAAAGGGGTCCTGAAACCTAGGGGAGAGCATAGGTTGGGGAGTAACTTGAGCATGAGGTTCAGGGGTGTCTCTGGACCTAAATTTTGGGCATCCAGGACATGGGGGATGGCTCTGGTTTCTACTGGAGGGCTTGCACAGGCTTGCATTGAAAAGGCCTCTGCCTCCCACATCAGTTCTCTGGGACTGAGACAAATTGCTCAGCTCCAAATTTTTGCTGAAAGTTTGAGATCAGGAATGAACAATAAGAGTCTAATTTTTTTAATGTGCTCAATCTTAAGTTTAATTGAAGAAAAAATCAATTTACATTGAATTTAATAGGTAATATATGATAGAGTGTAATTCATGTGTATTACATTAAAAAATCAAACCCCAAAACCCTGAGGAGTTGCTGACTGTCCAGCAATCCTTATGATTTTTTATATTCCTTCCTCTTAAAAAAGAAAAAAAAAAATCACAGTCCTTTCTGGTACTTTGAATTGAAACTTCAGCATCTGGATACAGTGAAAATTGTATTACTTTAAATAGTGGCATAAAAAAAAACCAAAAAACCCAACAAAAAAACAAACCCAAAAAAACAAAACCTGAGCAAATCAGTAAGTTAATGTTTTTTTTCTTATCAGGAGGCAGGGGTAGGGATTGGAGTGTGAGGTGCTCCCATCTGTCTCTCTCAGACAGGCCACCTCCATCACCTGCCTGCTGTGCCCTGTGCAATAGGTCAGGATGGGGGACCTTGACCCGTTGTATTAGCTATGACTCCTGTTGAAGCAATGTCTACCTGAGAAAATTATGCTGGGAATACTGATTCTTTGAATTCACGGGGAAGATAATTGAATCATGTTCTCTTTTGCACCTTCAGAAGGAAATCCCATCACCATTTGGAAAGTGAGAGTAAGCAATAAGCGTGCACCTTTGTTCACATGACATCCACATAAGGATGATAAATCACTGCTTTATTTTTACTTAGGAGAACTGAAATAGCAGAGATGATGACATCCCTCCTTTTGGAGATGACTACCATAAAGAGAGGGAACTCTGATTAAATGCAACATTTGTATAGGTTATTCTCAGCTATGAGATTTTTTCAGATTATGGTCTTCTTATATTGATTTTTTTTTCTTTTCCTTGGGATTTGTACACTTTGCAGCAGCCGACACAGAGAAAGTAAAACCCAGGAACTGCAACAGTTTTCCTCTCTAGCTTTTTATCCTCTCCTCCTCCCCAGCTTCACTGCTATGTGTGTCCCTTCCACCAAATAATCATTACTAATCATGACCAGGCAGCCAGATGGACCTGTTGCTGCCAAAACTAAGGCCCTGGGTCAGCTGATGTGGATGTCCCTGGGGAGTTGCAGGTGATGTTGGCTGGGATACCCTGGGAATGGGAGGAGTATCTGTAGGAGTCCCTGGGATGCAGGGCAGTGTGTGTACACTGCTGGCCCCATGGGTCTCCAGGCAAGGTGGGTGTGATGAAAGGCCTTGGTATTGTGCTGGGTTATTTTTGTCCCTATTCAGAATGTCTTTTGTTTTCAGTCAGGAAAAGCTTCTGCTGGAGACAATAGGACTTTTATGGCAGGAGAGAATGCTAAATAGGGCCCTCACTGAGTAAACTGCGGTTATCTTTTCATTCCAATACATAGCTGGGTGCAACTGATATTATCAGAATTATAAAGGACTGTTCTTTCAATTACATGCTTGATTTAAAAAAAAAAAAAAGTCTAGCTTAAATACGAGCATTTATGTATATCCCTTGCCATAGGTAGCTATGCCATATTGTGTGCAACAGGGGTGCTTGCAGTCCTCATCACCTCTCCCTAGGTCTGCTGAAATCATTGCCACACAGGCTGGTTGGAGCAGCCTTGCAGATATTTGCTGACAAACCTTTTCAGTATAATCCTTTATTATCTAACCACAGTCAAGAGCCTACTTCACATGAAATATTTTCTGCTACAGATGGCAAAGCCTGAGACTGAGCCAATAACAGTGTAAAAATACATTTATCAATGCAGAAGCCCTCAGCCAGCCAGCTTTTTCCATTTGTTATGTACAAGAGATATCCTCTATAATGTTTCAAATTTATTAAGGGACTACACGGACAAAAGTGTTCTATTTTAATAAAATGTTGCAATCATACAGCACATATTAAACACGTTTGTGTGCATAGAACAGAAAGAAAGTGGGTTGTGGGCTGTCAGTTCAGGTTATCTATTGCTCTTCATCATCAGATATCCATATTAATTCATTACTTTTATAACTTTATTGCTGGTAATCTTTAAAGGCTTTCCCTCCTCCCTCTGACAAAAGTCCTAGAACTAAGGTTTCGAATTGTTTATCCCTCTTTCCAAGTCTGACTGATTTAGAAAATGGTGATTTCTGCTGCTGGATCTTCCCAGGAAAATGAATGAGTGTGTGAGTGGTACGCTGGGACCAAGGGGTCCAGCTCTTTCACACTGTCACCTTCTTCAGGCTCTGGAGACATTGGGATCAGAGTGGGAATGGCATGGAGGGAGACGTGAACTGCCAGCATCCACCTCTTTGGACAACCCAAAGGAACAATTATAGCTGGAAACTTAGGTTTAACAGAGGTAAACAGAGTGATGAGAAAGCAATTTTGCATAATTAGGAGAATACCAGCAAACTACTTACTGACATGACATTTTACATTACTGTAGCTGTTTTGATGAAAAGGGCAGGTGAAGAGCATTTTGCTTACAAAGCTAAAATACCTCCCCAGTTATAGGGACAGTCAAGCAACCATGGTGATTCCTGCGCATGAATATATTATACGACCAAGTGCAAGAAACATGCACAAAAAAAATGAACTATTTGACAGGAAACCAAAAGAGTGTATTTTGCACCATGAGCCTTTCATTTCGGCTTGTGCCATTTGTAACACTGACACTCAGGATTTAGGCACCAGCCTGGTATATTTGTCTCCCTGGCAATAGTAAACTGTGTGTAAAATCTGTGCAAGATGCTTCACCAGTGCTTTCACTCAAGACAAGGCAGTTTATTGAACAAAATCCATCAAGGTAGGAAATAAAAAATGACTTTATTTAACAGCTTCCAGAAAATGCATGGTGCTAATTGACAGTGAAGAAAACCCCAGTTTTTATAGTTTAATATTCACCCCAGGGATGAAACTATAAAAGCTCAGGCAAAGCCTATGCAGTGTAGCATTCACTTAGAATGTTGTGCTCTGTAAATAGAGTGCATACAAAGCCTGGAGCCTCACAAGTGGGGTATGAGGGGAATGTGCCCACACTGACATCTTGCTCTTCAGTGATGGACAGGCTGCCCATAGTCCTGATGCTGTAAGCAAAGGGTGGAGCTTGGCGCAGGTTCTCAATAAATGTTACACAAAAGGGCTAAGTTTATGCAATGCTATACTTAAAAATGATCCAGACTTATTGGATAACCCAAGTTTTTTAAAATTGTCTTTCAGAGCTGGCTGGTTGATTTTTCAGCAGAAAATAAACTTTTGATGAAATATACTTCTCTAAAGATAAAAAATTAAAGTATTTTAAGGGTAGATTGGAGATCTCTGTCAGCATATCTACGAGCATTCAGCTGTACCTGCCAGCACGGCACAGCTCCTCGAAGGAGCTGGGGATGATCCCTCTGGGATGGCCCCCATCTCTTCTGAATGGTTTTGTCTGGAGGATACCACAGCAGAGATGTGACTGCAATACTTGAGCCACATAGCCTGTCTGCTGAGCAGAAACAAGTCTATAGACACTATGAACCATGTGGTTAAGCAGTTATAGCTCAGCATTAAGCTGCCTGAGCATAGACGATATCAGTATTTTACTTTTTCATGCTGATTTGAGATTGAAACACTCAGAATTAGACAATGTTCCAGGGTGGAAACCTGAGGGATATTTCTGTTCAATTTTATTTTGAAAGAATTTAAAAATATCATTTTAGGCATTGGAAGAGATGGCTCACACTCCCTAATTTATGTCCTTAGTTCTCACAGATTATAATTAAAATGGTCAAAATCCTTATGCTTTTATTCCCTGAAAATAAGCTTCTAGGTAAATACACCTCTGGACTCACACAGTTGATATGCAGGCATCAATTCATGCTTTATTACAGTACATGATGGACTTAACGATTTTCATATTGAAAGACTGACAATTCTGCAATTATGTTTTCTTATCACCCTAACCTTCTAGAAAGCAACGACTAAAGTAAAACATATTTTCATTAGCATCTCTTGTATTTTGATGAAGTCAGAACAAGGTTGTGCCCCTTATAACTAAATAATTTTGTCCCCTTACAACTGAATAAGAGACTTCTGGCTCAATTCAACCACTATACTGTTTTCTAATTATTTTTCTACCCCCCCCCCCCCTTCCAGTCCAAATTTCCCATTATCTTTAGTGCTGAAATCAGGCTTCTCTTCTCAATCTCAGACAATCCTTATGTACCCTCAGCTGGGAAAAGAGGGGGTCAGATGGCTGAGATGAGTCTGGAGACTCAGAAGTGCTTCTAGCAAGCCTGGGCTTGGGTACTATTAAATTGCTATTGCTCTACACCAGCACAGTAATGGATAGGGAAAATATAAAAATCCCAGGTAATTTCCAGGAAGAATTTGCCACATTTGCTTTGTGACATTACAATCTCAAAACCCACTCATATAAACTGCATCTAAGACCAATATTATTATCCAGCTTCAAGTATCTTGTATCTCTAGAGATGAGATGCTGTAGTTTGTTGTTTTGTGTTAACACAAAACAATATCATGCATATTTATGTGCACAGATTCCTATATACTAAAAGTTCTTGCTTGATCAAAGGATAAAATATGGATACTGCTGCTTGTTTGATCGAAGGTTAAAATATGGATACTACTTTTTGTCTAACTTTTTCACCAATTCCTTTGTAGCTGTATTTCATCAGACTGAATCTTCCTGCCTAGGAACATCACAGAATAACATTCTGAAAAAGAGACGACACTGAAGTATTATCTGCTTAACATAATGTTCACAATATTTCCCTGCTGACATCTCCTAATAAATATTTAATGAACAATGGTCCGACTGGTGACAAGACATTAATAACTCCAGAGGTAAGCTCTGTTGGACTTCAGATGCTGATGAGAACTAGAATTTGTTTTAGTTTATGACCAGGAAGATAATTTTTAATATTTATGCATTTTGATGTTCTGCATATACTGGTAAGTTTTAGAAAAACAATATTAAAATTCATTTAAATCAGCTATAAAACTTTCTAAGATGGAGTGAATTTAGGTTCCCTGGATTCCTTCATTGCTTGATCCTAAACTTCATCAGCTAGGTTGATGCCCCTCTTTTGGGACACCTCTACTTCTATATATATAAAATATATATACTTTACTGCAAGAATTTTTGTTTCATTTTTAACTGTCATGTGACTCCCTACCAAAGCAAAATCAAAACATTTGATATACTTGAAATCTGCTGGCTTTGGTGATGAGAGTTTTGTAGCTTCAGGAATCCCATGCTGGGAGAGCACTTCCATAGATCACTACTATAGTCTTTGTAAAAAGATCTCACCATTTCTATGAAAACCCATGGACATACAGGCTCAGGCACAGGTTTATCTGTTTTTAAAAGATTATGACTATTAGTCTGATCCTTCCCATAACCTGGGCTATAAACTTTAACCAGCTGCTTGTCTATCAGACATGTGTGTTTCAGTTACTGGGCAGCTGAAGGTTTTCTAGCTTTCTCAGAAGGATCAAAATTTGCAGTTTTAGCCATTACTTAAAGCTGTATTTTTTCTGAACAGTAAATGCTGTTGAAATGGTGCTATGGCTAACTCTGTGGTGCAACTTCTGTGGTCCACTTTATTTAACAAGATTATCTTGTTATATCTTTATTTCCTTCTTTATTTATGTCTTTATTTTCTTGTTAAGGCAGTTTCTGTGTAAATAAACCCTGTCATGGGCCACAATACAAGAGAACAGCTCTGGTAATTGTTTTCCACCAGCTGTAACACAGGTAGAAATTTTCACTGCTTTTCTAATGATGATTCTTTAATTATACATCAGATACAACCCAACCTTTACTTAAGATTGAACACAGAGTAAGTCCTAGTGAAGACAAATAAATGTGATGTGCATCAATTTGAGGATTTTTAGGGATAAATATTAAACTGATGATGACTATGAGAATTAGGATAATTAAGATATTACATACTTCAGCATTTATTGTTGTGTTGGAAATGGGATGATATGGTTTAATCTGTAATTATGGTGAGAGGAGTCAGGCAAATAATGTTGTGCACAAGGACCCAGCCAAATTTCCATCTCTAGTTCATTTTACAGCAGCAGAAAATATATAATTTAAAAAAAAAATCTTACACATTTCATCCTCCTCTCTTTTGAACTTCAGCATGTTTTTGCAAAGAGTGACAAACCAGAGACCAGAGGAAGTGTAGCCCTATAGTGTCTCTCTTACCAAATGTGCTCTTGCTCCTGAGATGGACCAAGGACCTCATATTTTTTTTTTTTTTTTTTTTAATGCTTCTCAAATAGTATTTTAAGAATTGTGGAGCCTTTAAAAAGCTGGGGATCTGGGGTGGTTTCAGCCCATTTTCTTGGTCTTTGACAGCTCAGCTCAGGAGCGTGTTCTGCCTTTTGATTCAGACAAAGGTGCAGGCATGTTCAGACACTCAGAAGCTCAACTTACTCTGTATTTAAGATGAAAAGTGAAGGAAACTCCAGACAGCTTAAACTCAAGAAGCAACAGCAATAAATAAAACCTGTTTTGAATATACAAGGGTGACACACAGATACCCTCTAGATATAGTTGTGCCACTTTTTAATACTCCTCAGCCATCACATACCTCTGAAAAAAGAAAAGGCACTGACAACAAGCGTCTGTATCTCTGCTCACAAGGGTGAAGAAATAGCCCAGCTCAGATTGTTCTGACTGAGAAATACGGTGGAACGAGCAAGTACCAAATCAGTTTGCAATGCACATCCTGCCACGGAAAATCACCAGTGCTCCTTTGCTAAGTCAGCATACATACTAAGTTTTAACAACAGCATTGCTACCTGTCAGAAGTCAGATATTAGACGATTAGACTATTTTTGCTATTCATGGTGTCTGGAAAATTTCACAGGGTTGCTCTCTTTGTGTTTTCTTTGCAAAGAACACAAAGGGTATTTTTCCTTCTTTTTACCTGTTTACCCATCTGCATATAGAAGCATTACAATACTGTGTTTAGATATAATTACAATAAAATATATCAAAAATGCCAATCAATATGGTATAACATCTCCGTCATATTTTTCCTTGTACCTCAGTTTACATTTCAAAACCACAGATAGTCAGTGTTATTTCTGTTTCTCTGATTAATATTATCTGATGATCCCTTTTATAAGGTCCTGCAGAGCTGTGCGCCTAATAGGGGACATTACTTACGTTGATGAGCAAGACCAGGGCCCACGTTCCTTCCATTTGGCAAAGGCTTCATCTGCAGCTTGTGTATGAGACTTTGGAAACACTCCCCTTTGGCTTATTCTTTTCCTATTGCTACTCATGATAAAAATAAGAAAAGGGAAAATTAAAATCAAACAAAATAAAACTATACACCAAACCTTTAAATATCAAACAATGCTCATCACTATGTTTGTACAAGAAATGCCCCATAGCCAAAGGCAAGCCTGAGCCTCTCACCATCGTCTAAGAGGCATCCAAGATGGGATGCAGCTGACTGTATTTGGATTTAACTGGTTGTCCTGGGTTCAGCAGTAGCAGTCATGTTTCTCCTCCTTGGTAGCTGGTGCAGTGCAGTGTTTTGACTTTCGGCTCGGGAACAGAGCTGATAACAATGATGTTTTGGTTTGGCCAAGGACTTTGTGAGCCTCATGCTCTGCCAGGGGGGAGGGGAAGCCAGGAGGAAGCAGAGACAGGACACCTGACCCAAACTGACCAAAGAGGTATTCCATACCACAGCACGTCATGCCCAGGAGGTAACTGGGAGTTAGCCGGAAGGGCTGGGAGACTGCAGGGTTGGAGGAGGTATCGGTCGGAGCTTTGGTCGGGCTTGGGGGCCGAGTTATCGGTCGGCTGGTGCTGAGGTGTTGTATTCTCTTCCCTTGTTATTTCCTTTATCATTATTATCATTGGTGGTAGCAGTAGTGATCTGTGTTATACCTTAGTTACTAAACTGTTCTTATCTCAACCCGTGGGAGTTGCATTCTTTTCGATTCTCCTCTCCGTCCCTCCGGGAGCAGGGGGAGGGCAAGAAAGGGGGGGAAGTGAGCGAACGAATTACCTGACTGGGTTTAAACCACGACAGTTCTTTTTTGGCGCCCAACGTGGGGCTCAAAGGGTTGAGATAACAACAGATCTGACCGGATTAATAGTCACTCGTCACAATGCTGATTTATTGGCTCTCAGAGTTGTTTCTCTTGATCTCACAGCTTCAGAATGTTGTAACTTAGGTAGAGCCGGTATTTGCTGTGTTAGTGTTTATCAAGTGTGGGGCCTGGGCTAAGGTTCTTGTCTCACTGTGCTTTATGGCAATGGCTTGTAATACGGGTGGGCTCCAGCAGCAGGGCGGGACGGACGTGGCCGTGGACTTGTACCTGGCCGTCCGGCTGCTCTTCACCGCCCTGGCCCTCACCCTACTCTCCATCTTCGTGAGGCTGCGGGGAGCCGAGGGGGAGCGGCCCCGGGAGCAGGCGGCAGCCGAACCGGCCCGGGAGAGCGGCCCCGGGCACCAAGCGGCGGCGGGAGCGGGGCCGGAGGCCGCGAGGGGACGGCTGCCGGTGGAGGAGGTCGGGGCGGTCGAGGAGCAGAAGGAAGCGGCTGCCGAACAGCGGGAGAAGGCGGCAGAGGAGCCGAGCCCCGCGGAAGAGCCGAGCCCCGCGGAAGAGCCGAGCCCCGCGGAGGAGCCGAGCCCCGCGGCCGAGCCCAGCCCCGCGACGGCCGAGAGCATTCCCCGGAAGCCACCCGCCGAGCCCCAGGAGGATGCAGGAGACCACGCAGCATTTCCCAGCAAGGCAGAGGAGGAAGAGCTGGACTCAGGAAAAGAGAAGCTGGTGGTGGGAGAGCCGGCAAGCACAGCAGCTACACCAGCCCCAGTGACAAGCACAGCAGCATCGTTTGAGAGTTCTGAAGGCTCTGAATGGCCTTTGGGTGTCCTTGGGACCTGCCTGCTGATTGTGATGGGGATCAGCATGTTGGCACACACACAGGCTGTGTTCTACCCACAACCATTTTGTCTGATCTCAAAAGTTAAGCAGAGTCAGGTTTGGGTCTTGTCTGGGATTAGACGACAATATAGGGGGACCAAGAGATTTTCCCCAAGGCTGGAGAGTCATGAGTGGCAGGGTGTGTGGGACAGTATGGGCAAGTATCTAGTCCACTGGGCCCCTCCAGTGCTTTGGAAGTGTCAGAGATGGAAGGCAGCTGTATGGAGTCCCCATCAACAAGCTGCAGAAACTGCTGAAGGGGACAGTGAATTATTTTGAGCCTGGTGGGCCCATGGCACTTCAGGCCATCAGAGCAGAGATGCAACACAGAGATGGACTCATGATCGAGGGGTGGACTTAGCAATGGACACTATTGCCCAGGTTATTCACAAGTGTGAACACTGCACACAGTCTCTCCTGCTCTGGAAGACTGTTTCAAGAGATGGAGCCTGACATGGACCAGATGGACGCAGCAGCTTTATAGGGACTGGTCCATGCACTAAGTTAAGAGTGCACCGAGATAAGAGTGATGGTATATTGAAAATGTGGGATCTGAGCATGACGTGAATGGTATGGAATAGTGGATAATGTCCTGGGTTCAGCAGTAGCAGTCATTTTTCTCCTCCTTGGTAGCTGGTGCAGTGCAGTGTTTTGACTTTCGGCTCAGGAACAGAGCTGATAACAATGATGTTTTGGTTTGGCCAAGGACTTTGTGAGCCTCATGCTCTGCCAGGGGGGAGGGGAAGCCAGGAGGAAGCAGAGACAGGACACCTGACCCAAACTGACCAAAGAGCTATTCCATACCACAGCACGTCATGCCCAGGAGGTAACTGGGAGTTAGCCGGAAGGGCTGGGAGACTGCAGGGTTGGAGGAGGTATCGGTCGGAGCTTGGTCGGGCTTGGGGGCCGAGTTATCGGTCGGCTGGTGCTGAGGTGTTGTATTCTCTTCCCTTGTTATTTCCTTTATCATTATTATCATTGGTGGTAGCAGTAGTGATCTGTGTTATACCTTAGTTACTAAACTGTTCTTATCTCAACCCGTGGGAGTTGCATTCTTTTCGATTCTCCTCTCCGTCCCTCCGGGAGCAGGGGGAGGGCAAGAAAGGGGGGGAAGTGAGCGAATTACCTGACTGGGTTTAAACCACGACACTGGTGGGTTACAACAGCCCTTGGAGGGGTTTGTAACGGGAACCATCAAGAGGCCACAAGCTATGAAGACGCCTCCAGTTACTACAGTAATAACTTGACGTCAAAAGTGCTTTTTCCTTTCTAGCCTACTGAAATGATAACAAGGATAACGGTCATTTGCCGAGGTGAGTGCCTCCATAGAGGAGCCTTCAGCTCCGGAGGAAGGGGAAACCCCACGTCCAGGAGCCCCAGCTCTGAGCGGCGACAGCCACCGAGGGAGCCTCGAGCCCTCGCCAGGCCCCGCTCAGGAGCTGCAGCTCCGCTGAGGGGAGCGGGGACTCACAGGGGGCGGGGCCAGGAGGGACGGCCCCGCCCCGAGCCGGTAAAGCTCAACCCAGGGAGCGCGTGAGCAGCGCGTGGCGCGGCGGTTGGCGCAGGCCAGCGCGAGGGAGGTGGGGAGCGCTCGGCTCAGGGCCCCGGTCTGGGAGCCCCGGCGGTGGCAGCGTCGGCACCAGACAGAGGCGATGAGAGGCGAGGCTGCAGCGCAGAGCTCGGGGTGCAGAAAGGGCCTGCACTGGTCTCGTGAGGGAGGGTGCGCGGTGGTCAGGGCTGCGCTCGGTGCGCCCCGGTGGAGGTCCTGCTGCAGCAGGGGCTGAGCTGCGGGACACTGTCAGTAGCTGAAAGGGGTCCGGGGAGCTGAGAGGGAGCCGGGCTGCTTGCTCAGGCTCAAACTGTTCAGGGGCCGCAGGCGGCCACCGTGGGGCAAACAGAAAAGGAGGAGGTCATCAACCCAGGGAGCTGGGAGCTAGTAACGTACAAAAAAGGAGGAAGAGGACAGTTAAAACCAAGGGGCTTCCTCTGAAATCCACATCCCCACCCAGAACCACTTCACAGCTCTGCAGGGGGCTAATGAGGAAACACCCACTGCACCAGATGAACAACCAGCTGATGCACCGGTGAAGAGAATCACTACTGGTGCCTCCAGGAGAAAGTGGTGGGTCACAGTAGTAGGTGGTTCTACGTCGAAGGGCGCAGAGGCACCTGTCTGTTGGCCTGACCCAGTGCGTTGCCTAGCAGGGACTCGCATCAGGGATGTTGCTGGGAGGCTGCCTGCTCTAGTAAGTCCCACTGACTATTACCCGCTTCTGGTGGTCTGTGTGGGTGCTAGTGATACAGACAGCAGTAGCCTGGGACTCATTAAGAAGGGCTATGGAGCTCTGGGAAAGGTGGTTAGGGGCTCTGGAGGCTCTGGAGTTTTTTCATTGTATTTTTCATCATAGCTTTTTCACTGATCGTCCAGGTCAAAGGGGATGACCTGGAAAAGGCCAGGCGGATTTGGCAGCTTAATAAATGGATAGAAGGGTGGTGCCATAGTCAGGGGATTGGTTATTTAGAACATGGGAGCTGATTTGGGAGGCCAGGTCTACTGGGGGCTGTTGGAGCTGGTCTGCTTTGATAGGGAACTTGCCAGGCTGGTCAAGGCAGCTTTAAACTAGATGTGTTACAGGAAGGAGACATCAATTCATCCCAAGACTCCCAGTCAGTTGCCAGCACGTGTAATAAACGCTTGAAGCAATGCAGTGCTATTTCAGCTGCTCCAGCCAATGAGTTGTGTTCATCTGGAGCTTGGCTTAGATGCCTCTAAACAAACTCCTGTATGGGGAATAAACAAGAGGAATTAGAGATGTGTGCACATCTATGGGGGTATGATATCATTGGCATCACAGAAGCATGGTGGGATGGTCTTATGGCTGAAGTGTTGGAATGGAAGGTTACAGGCTCTTTAGGAAAGACAGGCCAGGCAGATGGGGAGGGAGAATTGCTATTTATATCAGTGATAGGCTGGAGACTGTTGAACTCTGTCTCGGGACAGGTCAGTAGAGAGCTTGTGGGTCAGGGTTAAAGGGAGAACAGCTATGGGGGACATTACTGTTG